ATACTGAAGATAATTCTATCATTATTTCTTTTGGTTTCGAATTCAGAATAGCATGCGTCTCAATTGATGAAGAATAAAATAATAATATGTCCTAAATGGATATATCAGTCAATACGCTGCCCACATTTAAGAGACTATCGAAGCACTGCTCTGGCTAGGTTTAGCAATTTCTTTCAGGTTGAGCCCGTGAACTCACTTGCCCATTGGCGCGTAGCTGGAATAGCCCCTTAAGCTAAGTCTATAGGTAGGGAAAATAATAATAATCTTAGTTCGGCTTACATACTATTTCGGCTTATTATTTGGTGGGTTTTTGTTTAAAGTGTCGCCGGTAGCCCTGTGAGCTTAACGTACTCGATAGCGTAAAGGTTTGCGTACGTTTGCCGCTAGGGGCGCTATTCCAATTGCATACAAATTTGAGTTAACTTTTACGCTATCGGGAACGTTAAAAAACTCGCACTAAGCACACTGTCACTGTATGGTTGAACGGCGGTCGCGTCGCGCGATCTCGCCCGCGCAGCATTCATTTTAATCAGCCACGTCGCCGACCAGACCCGATAGCCTGATGAATTATACCTGTGCGCTCTGTTTTATGAACGTTGGCACAGCGGTGTTGCCGTTGCGAAATATCCGTTTCTAAATTTAATTTATCACGTCGGTCTATTCAGGGAGTCGAGCGTGTGGATTGTTTTGGGGATAAAAGTAGGTAGGTAATAAATACGAAGAATCTTTTCCGTTGTCTGGTGGTTACTGGTGGTAGGACTTCTTGTGAGTCCGCGCGGGTAGGTACCACCACCCTGCCTATTTCTGCCGTGAAGCAGTAATCCGTTTCGGTTTGAAGGGCGGGGCGGCCGTTGTAAATATACTGAGACCTTAGAACTAATATCTCAAGGTGGTTGGCGCATTAACGTCGTAGATGTCTATGGGCTCCTGTAACCACTTAACACCAGGTGGGCTGTGAGCTCGTTCCCCCATCTAAGAAATAAATAAATAAATGTCAAAGGTCATCTATTTATTCGGAAAATATCGTGATGGTTATAACGAAGTACCCGCTTTTCTGTAAAGTTTTAGACAAATAGGTACTAGGGTAGCATGTCGTGCCAGAAGGTTCTTGATTGAACAAGGTAACGCGGAATCGATAGCCGTTATCGGCACTGACAAATGAACAAGGAAAGAGATTTATAGACAGTCGCTTCGGAAATATACGGGATTCGTTCTATAATGTGATTTCCATGGGATTATCAACACCAGTTCACTACCTACGGGTATATGTAGGTAATTGGCACTCCCGCTTTTGCAAAATTTCGCGTTTTTCGATGAAAAACGAATCCAATGAAGTTCACATTAAAGTCTAAAATTTACTCGGTTCGCGTTATGTTTATCAGTTGAATTCGGGCCAGTGATGTTTTTTGTACTTCTATTGTATTGTATACTATTGAAAGCCTACTTCAAAGAAGTCCAAATCCCTTTGGCTCAACAACAAAAAAAAGTTCGTGCGTATGATTTCGATATCAACCTCCGAACTCTTAGGGTTTTAGATTCTGTTAAAACTCAAAATACGAATATTATAATTTTTTCCCGCCTGTCCTGGTGAAACTGGAAAGGACTTCGGACCATTAGTAATGCTTCTAAAAAAATTATTTTAATAATAACACAATTTTCTTGAGCGGTTTGAACCCCACTAATGGGACTTTTATTTCCATGGAGATATTCTTCTAGAATAACAGAGTCTGTATGTATTATGTTGGATATATTTATGGTTCCTGCGTGAAATCAAAACTAGTACTCGTAATATTTTTAGTAAATAGATTAAAAAATCTATCAACATAATATCTTTTTAGCTGTGAAATTATGGCATATGAATAAACCTCAGCTGTGTATCCAAATATATTATAAACAAATTAAAAAAAAAAAGTACATTGGTTTTGTTCAAAATTGCAGATCCTCATATATAAATACTTCATTGTAACTAATCGAATTTATTGAAATCTTACAAAATCCTTAAAGCGTACGAAGCTTTCGTTGGCCCGGGCGTGTTGGGTCATTTATTATTAGTGAACCAACAGCTCATGTTTATTAAAGAGGCAACGTGCCACCTGAGCCACCGTGTACTCAGTAACCGCTGTGGGAAATACTAAGGTTTTCGTGACTACTCCACGCCGGACATGTGTGTGACTCTCAATTTAAATTCGTGCGGCATTGGGTATACGGTCTGTGCTGCACTCCTTCTTATCACGCTGCATAGAACGCGGCTCTTTCCAGTCACCGTCCTCGTCGAACCCGTCGCTTGCGACGAAGTGCTCAGTGAGCAAATTAACCCATAGACACAGCCCACTGAGTTTCTCGTCGGATCTTCTCAGTGGGTCGCGTTTCCGATCCGGTGGTAGATTCTGCGAAGCACGGCTTTTACTAGGGTTCGTGTTAGCAACGTCATCAGGTTTGAGCCCCGTGAGCTCACATACTAGTTAAGGCGACGCTGATATAGCCTCTCAAGGCTATCATCAGCTTAGATAGGAAAAAATAAATTTGTTCACAATCGAAGTAAATAAATTGCTTAAAAACCAAATGAACGTAACTTTTACAAACATTGGTCACACTAGCTGTTATATCGAATACGGTGTCATCATTTCGATAAGACGGAGAGATATTTAAGACATTTGATCTAGCGGTGTACTGTTACAACGCTGTTAATGGTGCGATTATTGTTTAGCAGAAAGCGTTCAACTAATGACGGGTTCTGAATTTTGTACGCTCAATAAATTCATATATATCCTGAGTGTTTAAATGTTATGAGACAGCTCAGCTCAATAAGATTATGAAATCGAAGTTTATCCATTGTTCAAACCGGAACACAAGACTGTTCTCCCATCTTACCTGATACAGTAAAATATCCTTATTCCTGCAACCTTCTTATAGTGTAAGTTGATGTACAAAATAATATTTGGTTATTGTTTTAGCTATATTTTTTTAAATATTATATGTTTGTATTGTACTGTTTGTTTCCCAAATAAATAAATAAACCTTCATACGCGTTTTCACTATACGCGTATTAAAAAAATGCGACCCAATTCCTATATTGGCGGCTAAAGGTTTCTTAATTCGTCGAGTTAATAGGTACATCGGTACATACACATTGATAAAAAGGATTCAAATATGTACGTATCCAAATTAATATCATTTTTAAACGCGCTTTTCCATAATCACAGTTTCTGTATTGGCGGCATATTTACGGAACTTATATCTCGCGAATAAAGAAGTTTACTGTGTATACGAATGAACGTCACTATCTTTATACAAAGGACGAATAGTCATAAGATTTTGTTAACACCTTTGTGTTACTCTGCATCTGGGAATTTTATATACATATCTGTCAAGGCCAGGATAATTTTGAGTGCGGCCGTAAGCTCTTTGAACTTTCTCCGTGTGGTCTTAAGAGAATCAACCGATTCAAATTTAGCTGATCCCAGATCGTTGTTTCCGTTTTAAAAACCTCCCAATGCTACGTCTGGAAAATCGATATCTGGCCAACCCTCTTCTGGTGGCCGTTTCAAGTTACATCCCCGAGTGAAGTGACGGAGCAATACACAGCCGTCGGCCTGTAAATGTCATTTCGGATCCTCCAGATCTACGTTCGGTGATTTTAGGCATTCCGAGCACCGGTCACCGTTTTGATCTAATCCGAAGAATGCGACGATGAGTTCGATATATACAACTTAATTTACAGCCACGACCCATTGAGTTTAGCGCCGAATCAGTGGGTCACGATTCCGATCCGATGGTAGATTCAGCGAAGCCCATGCTAGGGCAGCTTTAAGTAAAAACTTTCAAAGTGAGCCCTGTGAGATCGTCCGCGAACCAAAGCGAAGATTAAGTTACCTCAAGACTAGTGACAAGTCGGCAAAAAAGTGTATAGCATTTGAATGAATGTATTGTTTTTTTTTTTATTTGGTCATAAACTAGCTACCCAGATTTGTGAACTGTTCAGAAATAATGTTATATGGTTACTTTGTAAAAGACAGGGAGAGCACTAAAAGCGAGATATGACGTCAAAGCTTATAGACGTCATACAGGATAACACTAACCCTAAAGTAAGAATCCAAAGCTAAAATATAATGGTTCCATAGACTTGAGAGAGAAAAGAGCGTTATAGCGCGCTAAATGTTTATTTTCGCCACCTTATCCCACTAGGTGAGGTCGACACAGCTAATTTTTCTCTTCCATTGTTTTCTATCAGCCGTCATCTCAACACTCACTCCTTTCTCTCTCATATCGTCATTCACATTCCATCCATGTCTGCTTCGGTCGACCTCTTCCCTCTCTACCTTGCACTACCATTTCCATACATTGGTCCTAGTCACATTCATCTTCTCTCTACGCATCACATGTCCTAACCGTCCGCTCTTTAATTTGTTGATTACCGGGGCTACTTTCACACTTCCTCTGATATACTCGTTCTTTATCATGTCCATTCTTGTCACTCAACACATCCATCTCAACATTCGCATCTCTGCCGCATGCATTCCTCTTTTATGCTTTAATTTCGTCGCCCCACATTCAGATGACAAGTCCAATGATGGGTTTTGTAAATGTTCCCCTTTACTCTTCTTCAATAAATGTGCTATTTTAAATTACCGCAAAAAACCGGCCAAATTATAGTTTGGGTAATTACTTGTGGCAGGACCTCTTGTGAGTCCGCACGGGTAGGTACCACCACCCCGCCTATTTCTGTCGTGAAGCAGTAATGCGATTCGATTTGAAGGGTGGGGTAGCCGATGTAACTATACTGAGACCTTAAAACTTATATCTCATAGTGGGTGGTGCATTTACTTTGTAGATGTCTATGGACTCCAGTGACCACTTAACACTATGTGAGCCGTGAGCTCATCCACCCAACTAAGCAATAAAAAATAAAAATAAAAATATTATAAACTTGACAGAGTACATCTAGATTAATGAGTGATCATTGTAAACGAACATTTGTTACATTAACATTTTAAAGTTACCTTCAAAGGCGGCGTGGGTATGTACAGTGGGGGGTCGTTCTGCGACCCGCTGTACACCTCGTGCCCCTCGGTCCCCCTCGTGCACCCCTCAGCGTCCACGACACTATAACGACACACAATACTGTCCGCCGGCTTCGCGTCGTAACCAGGCGGCTTCCCCACGTAAAAACCCTTCGCTTTGACCCAAAAACGAAACTTGGAGCTGTCCGAACTGTTACACTCCTCGCCGCGTAGCGTACGCAAGATCCGCGCGTATTTTTTTAATGTAATCGTCTTGGTTTTGGCCTGGTCGCCGTACGTTTGTATCACCCAGGGCTGGTACGTCGTGAACAAATCGAGTTTAGGGTCGCCGGTTTGCACTTTAGGCCTTTTGTTGTTGTTCTGTTCGTTTTTCTTGTCGGCTTTGGATGCGCCGGCCGTCGATTTGCGTTTGGACGGCTTTCGCGGGGTCTTCTCCGGGATCGCGTCTTGAGTTAGCTTCTTCCGTAGCCCCCTGTCGCTGATCATAGCGGCAGCCATCTTGTTTTGTTAGTGTTGATGCATTATAGCGGGAAACTGCGGAAATAAATATTTATTTTAGTGAATATTTTAGTGTAACTAACTATACTTGAGACCTTAGAACTTATATCTCAAGGTGGGTGGCGCATTTGCATTGTAAATGTCTATGGGCTCCAGTAACCACTTTACACAAGGTGGGCTGTGAGATCGTCAACCCACCTAATCAATAAAAATTAATAAAAAAGAGTAGATAAGCCTGCGAAAGACTTCTATTTTGTGTATGTTAATCTGCTGTGATTTTTTTTTATGGAGGACTTCGGTAAAACGGTCAAAATACTCAATTAGTTCATGGGCTTACCGAGTATCTTACATGACACTTTGTTCGCGTCTGCATCACACGAGTATGCAACCCGAGCTAGTATAATTAATTAGACACCTCGTCTCATATTCCTTAAGCCGTTAATTTTAGTCTGGAGTGCCGTCTGGAGAGTTATTGTTCTGATTTGCAAGCATTAGTAATATCGCATTTTTCGAAACATTCCAAATTGCATATTTCATCTTAACAGTAACCGAAAACGACAATATATTCTATTTATACTGTACTAGGTACTACTTCGTAGTGCCTCAATCGATAAATAAAAAGCCTAAACTTTTCTATAATCTATACTAATATTATAAAGAGGAAAGATTTGTTTGTTTGTTTGTTTGTTTCGAATAGGCTCCGAAACTACTGGACCGATTTGAAAAATTCTTTTTCCATTAGAAGCCGACATTGTCCCTGATGAACATAGGCTACTTTTTTAATTATTTTTTTAATTATTTTTTTTTTTGTTTCATATGTGTTTTAATGTTTTCGAAGCGAAGCGAGGGCGGGTCGCTAGTATAAAATAAACTTAAAACAAACAAAAGAAATCCGTCCGACGGGGAACACATATATTTTGTTTTAAATTGTTATTTTTATTTAATTCCAAGCATTTTCATATTTATCTACCGTTTAAACCTTCTTTGGACTTCCACAAATAATTCAAGAACAAAATTAGCCAAATCGGTCGGTCTAGCCGTTCTCGAGTTTTAGCGAAACTAACGAACAGCAATTCATTTATATATATAGGTAGATGTATTACGTTTTCTTGTCCTGCATTAGAAAAAGTTTAGTGAGTGCGTAGAGAAAGTTTTCGAAGCTAACTTCAGAGTTCGGGCATCCGAAGCTCGGGGTACGGAACTCATATTAAGCTCTGTGGCTTTTATATGACATTTTGTATTTTTTTTACCAGCATTAGACATTCAAGACCACAGATGGTGACCAGGTCTAGTAGACACCATAATATGAACCAGATTGAGGTCTCCGCAGTGCCGACATAATGGCTCTCTCCCTTGTAATGTATGCTTATAATAGAATATGCAATTTCGAAAAGGACACATCTCTGAAAATGTAAAATGTTCAGGAAATGAAAAAAGCTGATTATTTTCTAAAGCAGTGTAAAATTTGAAATATTAACTTTTGAGATATATTTTAGTGTTAGTATTAGCAATTGAAAATTACTGGAATTATTATAAAATGGGTGTATAGGTAAGCCTCAAAACTACATGTATATGAAAAAACGTATTTGACAAAATATGCGACATGTGCGTGGCGCATTTACGTTGTAGATGTCCATGGGCTCCGGTAACCAATTAACACTAGGTGGGCTGTGAGCTCGTCCAACCACCTAAGCGATAAAAAAAAAAGTGCCCTTTTCGAAATTGCATATTCAATAATATTCGCGGCCAAAATAGCAAGTATGATAAGCACATAGCTGCAACATGTCCCGCTACATAATGTTACATTTTTTTTTCCTACCTACGCTGATTTGATTGAGAAGCTATTCTGCTATTTCGCCTTGAAGTGTAGGTGAGCTCACGGGGCTCAAACTGAGAGTGTTGCTAACACTGGCCCTAGCAAGAGAGAAACGCAACCCACTGAGAAGATCCAGCGAGCAACTCAGTGGGCTGTGTCTATGGGTTAATATACTCGTCGAGCCCTTCGTCGCAGCCCGTTCTCAGATAGGAGTTTTAAAAACTCGATACTTTTAAATATGCAATATCGTTAATAGATCAATGATATTATTGCTCCTTAAAATGAATTTTCTTATAGCGTAATACTTAAAACCCCAATTTCAACAAAAAGTTTTTTTAATTTTCCTACGTGTAATGAAGGCGTATTATGATTGAAAATTTCAAAGAAAGCACTAGGAGCAGAGTAGCTCTAAAGACAGTTAGTTTGCTTTTTTCTTATATAGTATTTGCATTAATGAAATCGAGTTGCACATAATATGAGATGCCTTAATAATTTAAAAGCAGGTATACAATAGAGGTCAGAAAAAACTAAAAGATAATCTTATTAGTGAAAATTATTATCACATAAATGATTTTTTTAGGGACGACATTCAAAATAAATGCTTTTTTTTATTATTTGTTGAATTATGGATGAATGTAAGGTAAATTATATAATATCTTATATAATATATTTTTTACTGGTGGTAGGACCTCTTGTGAGTCCGCACGGGTAGATACCACCGCCCCGCCTATTTCTGCCGTGAAGCAGTAATGCGTTTCGGTTTGAAGGGTGGGGCAGCCGTTTTAACTATACTGAGACCTTAGAACTTATATTTCAAGGTGGGTGGCGCATTTACGTTGTAGATGTCTATGGGCTCCAGTAACCACTTAATATCAGGTGGGCTGTGAGCTCGTCCACGCATCTAAGCAATAAAAAAAAAATATCATAATATCTTGCACTGCACTAAAATTCGCATTATTTGAATAATGACAAAGCATACACGCTGCTTTTAACTTATGTAATAACTCATTTTCACTATGCTTAGCGAATAACTGATTTCTTTCTTTCTTTAGGAGAGCTATAGAAACACAAGTCGGAGGTCAGACTCGTATCTATCAGCCCATGTTCGTCGGACCCCATTCTCGGTTCAGGTCCCCTCATCGCGTGCTCTTCATTTGTCACCACGGTCCGGTGTGGATATTAACACTGGGATCCGAAGCGGCCGGTACTGTGTGACGACCGTCCGAATTGCCTTCGTCAATTTACGTAACGTTTTAAACGCCTTACCATGTACCTAAAACCTCACTCATATTACATTTAGCGAATTTAATGAGGGAGATCGAATGAAACGTGCCGGCTAGTGAATAGGTGTTTAGTAACACAGTGAGTTTCTCGAATGATATTTTCAGTGGGTCGTGATTGCTTTCTGGTAGTATATTCAACGAAGCATTGCTCTTAGCTTTTTAAGCTCGTCCGCCACCCACTGCGAAGCCAGAATAGCCCCTCGAAGCTAGTGCGATTAGGTAAGCAAAAAGGTTTCTATACCAAAATCTTTTAAATTTGCTGTAAACGAATTTTTATTATTTTTAAACAATTCTTACAACTAAAGTGCTTATAGCCTTTGTTTAAAACTTAAATTGAAACAAGAACTATTCGTTTGGATTTTTAAATATAGAACCTATAAATAAACGAAAAAATAATTAGTTTGACAAATAATAATTCAGCACCGGTGCATGTTACACTAAACTTTATTTCGAGTACAGAAATATTATTAGTGCGCGCCAAGTGTCGGATTAATCAAGTTTAGACTTCTCCCTCGACTAATCAAATTACCTTGAGCTACGAAAAATTAGTGCCCTACCCAAAGACAGGCCTATTAAAAATCAGCAAATACTAGAAAACGGTATTATAAAATCTAGTTGTAAACTTTGAGGGAAATCATAGAATTTAAGACAAAAGTACCAAAGTATCTGCGTGTAGTTATTAGTAAAATACTGTTTTTTAAAATAAGTAAACATACCTAAAGTGTATTATAAAGTTGTTGCTCAACACTATAATATTAAAAAGTATATTTCTAACTGAATTTGGGTTTAAAGTCACTAATCTTATTGTCGTACGTAGTTCGCGTCGCGGGAAAACAGAGCGAAACGCTATTCCTCTCGTACACGACCGCCCGCAAGTCGCGCGCGCGGTGCACTGATGCGAAGGTGTTACCAGTTTAATTTCCCAGTTTTACATTGAATCTTTTGGCGATTACCCCAAGTAACAAGCTAGAACAAAAAAAATTAAATTAACTTTTAACTTTTTAGTTTTTAAGAAAATTTTCTACAATTTTTAAGATGTTTTCAATTAAACATTTTTTTTAGTATAAGCTACTACAGAATAAACTTCTTTTAAAAGGACATTCGAGGAGCTACAATTGAGCAATGTTAATTAATCATTTGAAATTGAGTACTGGTAATTGTAGAATGCGTTAACTTCCGATGTATGCCAGAGCTATTTCAACCGTATCAGTACCTTATCAGCCTTTTTAAAACGTAAACGATTTCACAAACAAATACAAATAAAATATATTTTGAGAAGCAACTGCATGTTGTGCAGTTGGCCGTCACAAAGCTCTGAACTAGTCGGAATTTGAAACTTATTGTACCGGCAACCCAGTTCGTGTGCGGGCCGGCGACGCGGCACGTGCGGGACGGTCCCGCGCTAATTGTCCATGAGTCTAGCACCACAGAGTGTTTTATAACACAGCTACTGAAAAATATTAGAACTTCTTTACTAATATATTATCACAGAGCTTGTAATGCAATGTTGCTTACTAAATCTCCAATATGAAAATAAAACCAATAAAGTTATAAAGTCGTGATGAAAAGTCGTTACTGGTGGTAGGACCTCTTGTGAGTCCGCACCATCACCACCACCCCGCCTATTTCTGCCGTGAAGCAGTAATGTGTTTCGGTTTGAAGGGTGGGGCAGCCGTTGTAACTATACGGAGACCTTAGAACTTATATCTCAAAGTGGGTGGCGTATTTACGTTGTAGATGTCTATGGGCTCCAGTAACCACTTAACACCAGGTGGGCTGTGAGCTCGTCCACCCATCTAAACAAAAAAAAAATCAGTAGTGTTTTATTCAATATACAGGACCTACATTAAATTCAAATTCGAGCAGTAAAAAAAAAAAGTGTGTGTGTCCGCTCCGACGCACGACTGGAGTTTACTGGATATAAAAAATTAAACGAAACAATACGAGAAATAGTTCTATATTACGACAACACGATACACTACAGATTATTAACAAATTAACGAGACACAAAACAAACGACTAACAAATATATGAAAATACAATAATGAGAGAAACGCGCGATCAATACGAGGCTTTGTGGCGGACTGCCGGCGCAGCAGCCCGGCGTCACCTGCGATAACGCATTTCGTGTGACATGCGCAATCAGGCGCATAACGCATTTCGTGTGACATGCTAGTACGATTTTGGTCCCCATAATTTTCATACCCCGGGCCTATATATGTAAATCGATTCTAAAGGAGTAAACTCCAAAAGTGTGACTAATAAAAATTGAAAATAGGTAGGCACTATAATATTAAAAACTGATCTCTTACGTGGTTAGTGAATTTCGTTAAGTAATCACCATCTTGCCTATTTTTGCGGATAAGTAGTTTTGTTTTGGGGTTTGAAGGATGGGCAAAAGATTTATTTACACGACGTAAAATGTGTTTGCCACCTTAGGTTTCAACCTGAATTGCGGCGTTCATGCTGTGATGTCTATGTGCTGCATTATATATATGTGATGTCTATGTGCTGCATTATAAATAAGTAAAGACAAACCAGTCAAGCATCACTTTCTCAATCGATTTTTTGTTGCATTGAAAACCCATTGAGTTTCTCGCCGGATCTGCCCAGTGATAAACACATTCAGCGAAACACTGCTCTTGCTAGGCCTAGTGTTAGCAAATCCGGTTGAGCCAGTGACCCTACACATCCGATGACGTCGGATGCTCAAAGCTACTGGCACTTAGAAAGAAAAAAAAACAGCTTTAAATTCGGAACGCGTGATTGCTGCCCGCACATTTGCAGCCTACGTGATAAAAGCGGCTACCTAAGCCCATAGACTAGAGATAGATTGGATGGAGACGAAAGGCCCCAGAATCGGGTCGTCTGGCGTGCTTTGGGAGAGTCACATGTCTACCAGTGGACATATGCGGCGCATAATGAAGCCCGCAAAGAAGGAGAAGCCTTCGCTTAGTTTTCATTAAGCCAGTCGCACTGCAACAATAAATATAAATAAATATATCTACGAACATGTATGCTTATAATTTAGTAGCTGATATTTCATGAATAAAAATCACAATCTCAATACTTTTTTTTATGAAAAAAATACCGCGTAAACTCATAATGAAACAAGCAAACGAAAGTAGTTCTTATGAACAGCATGCTAAGAATAAAGTGACAAACATGTACTTGTTATCTTTTGGTTTTCTTTTGGAATGTGCGATGCGCGTTGCGCGCGCGCTTAACCACTCCGCCTCAGCCGGAATGAAACATGCGCACGAGACGGCATCTTGCGCGAAATGTGCGCATATTACCAGGAGTTCATAAACGGAAGGAGTTTTATACCGATTGTGGACACAACGTGCGCGCATTTTTGTTTTTCGATCAATCTCCATTGATTTATCAGCTTTATTACTAAAGGGTAAAGATCATTGTTAAATTTTTGAATGTGTGATTTAATTTTATTTGTGATTTCTTTCAATTTATGCTAGCCTGTGAACTTGATGAACACGATTGCCATGATTTTTGATTGACTTCTTGCTTGCTTGCTGTGTTAGTTGATGGTCAGTGGTTGTTGTTACATTGGTGAGGTTGTCTCTGGTCAAAATTCAACTGAAATTTCAGATGAAACAAAATGGTGATGAATGAATGATGAAAAGGTCAGACTAAAAGTATCTACTTAAGCCATGAAGGGCAATAATAATTCATGACCAAACAACCAACCATCATCCATCACCAACCAGTGAGACGACTTCCACCACTAAGAGATTTTTTATTGTTGAATTAAATCCTCAATAAAATCAATTTGTGGGATAAGATTTTGAGTTTAATTTGTCAATTTTTTCACACATTTCATTAACCTAAAATTGAGATTAATAAAAGAAAACAAAGGAGTTTTCCGAAGTAAGCAGATTCCTGAGGAGGAAAAGAAGAAGAGAAAAGGGTTTTTTATGATCGATCGAATTAAATCGATATTGCTTCATTGAACGAATTTCTACCAGGATCGCATAGCACTCGAGATGTATTATTAAGATTATTTTGAAGTCGATTGTATTTCTTGATTAATTCAACAGATGGCGCTATACACAAAATAACGTGGAACTGTTTTTGAAATGATATTGCATACCGAAGTCTTAATATATCCATATTTTCATTATTATGATTGTAAGGAATACACATTTTTTGTAGGACTAATTAAAACAATAATGATATAGAAAAATGCAAATGAAAAATTCAAGCTAATGGTTTTTATCTAGATGGCGCTGCAATACCGTCTCACTGAAATCAAACGTATTTTTTTGTTTATCAATGTTTTTGTTTATTTCCGTAGAGTCATGGGCCCTTGGTACAAAGAGGTAACCCGAATCCATAGACATTATAACATTTATACATCTAGTAGATGTCTCTTTGTTCTACCTATGAAATCGAGAACATAATTATTATATTTTTTTTCCTACCTATGCTGATAGCCTTGAGAGGCTATTTCAGCGTAACCGTGGCTAGTAGGTGAGCTCACGGGGCTCAAACCTGACGACGATGCTAACACGAACCCTAGCAAGAGCCGTGGTTCGCAGAACCCACTGAGAAGATCCGGCGAGAAACTCAGTGGGCTGTGTCTGAGAGTTAATTTGCTCGTCGAGCCCTTCGTCGCAAGCGACGGGTTCGACGAGAACGGTGACCGGACATAATTATGATATTTGACAGATACTTGAATCTCGCTAACGATGTTTTTAAGATAAGTTTGTATACGTGTTCCGTATATGTATATATTTATTAAGCCGTTGGTCTTCCGAGCACACCCGCTTGGTGGAAGATTGTCCCGTTTGTGTTAAACCTCACACGGCAGTAATAGACAGGAAAGCTGGTTCACAACATGCCTTACCACCAGTAAATGTCGATAGCAGTACGCTTGTATAATAGTACTCACAGTGCCCTGTTACATCATCTCGGATCCTCCTGATCCACTAACGGTGCTTTTAGGTACCCCAAGCACCGGTCATAGTTCTCGTCGAACCCGTCGCTTGCGACGAAGGGCTCAGCGAGTGGCAACATCGTCAGGTGTGTATAGAAAACTCTAGATTTGAAATAAGTATTACCTTTCATATTTGCCAATGAGTTTCTCACCGGATCTTCTCAGTGGGTCGCGTTTCCGATCCGGCGGTAGATTCTGCGAAGCACGGCTCTTGCTAGGGTTCGTGTTTGCAACATCGTCAGGTTTGAGCCCCGTGAGCTCACCTACTAGCCCGGTGACGCTGATATGGTCCCCTAGATCATCAGCTTAGGTAGGAAAAAAAAGTGCACTATTCGTCATTCCCTGAGAAACCCTTCGGTCGCTAGTCACGATTTTGACTCGAAGAAATAAGCTGATACTATTCTAGGCACCACAAAAAAAACCGCACTAGGCGTGTCGGTCACAAACAATTTATCTTTGTTTACTTAAAACGTAAAAATACAGTTATGAGACGTCTCGCAGACCCGTAATTAGATTTACAGAGGCGCCACAGATGGTGTGGATTTTTTTAATTAAAACGTAATACAGTTCGCCTCCTAGTCTCGGTTTGAAATTCAGGTCAACCTAGTAACAACGCAGTGACAAATAATTTCCACCTTTAGAATCGAAGTGGCTTAACCTAAAAATTATAAGAAAATGAGTTTTATACTTTGAACAACTAATAAACATGTATTGTCAGTTTATAAAATTAAAAAGTCTCTTTTAGTCTAGAAAAGCACAAACTACTCTTTCCGTCTCTTTTAAAACAAGCCTTAAACTATGTTTTAAAATGGAAAAACAAAAAAAATTACGATTCTTCAATTACATTTTTAGCGTTTTCCCACACACAAGAATTTTGGATTAAGCCAATACAGTTTTAAGGTGGGATATATGAAATTGCAA